ATCAAAAATAGTTTTAAATATCGCAGAAACACACAGAGGAACCTGAGCTCACTAACCTGAACAGGATTCATTAATCATAATGTTTCAACCAGTTTGGCTGACAAAAATTGCAAATAAAAGAAAAAAAAACACAACTAAATAAATGTGCAACTTGTTTCTATGGAAGGCTAAAAGTGACAAAATTAAACAAATATATATGCAATAAAGTCTCCCATTAATTTATTACATGTATCACCAAAAAAATAAAGATATCATTAATATTATAATGAGAGAATAGAATAATTTAATATACCATTAAATTATCTAGAGCATTCATAAATTATTAAATATATCACAAAATTATGAAAAATGCCATAAAATATATAAAAAAAAGAAGAAAATGAGAGGTGGAAGGACGAGCAAGACTCAAAGTAATGAGAGGACAAGAAGATCAACCTTATCACAGATAATCTGCGTAACTTTTGTCAACCATGTAAAAACTCACTGAGCGACGTGAAGGAAGGATTGTCTTCATCAGATCAGCCAAATCTAAAAAAGGCATCAGGAGCAAATAAAGAAACTTCACTAAGAGCTTCACGCAGAGGCAGAAATTCAGACGCATCTGTGGCGTTTGCTTCACTGGATCATTGTACGTTGCACACATCAGAAATTTGATAAAGAGCTTCTATATTTTTGCCAAAGCAAATGTTCTCTAAACAGCAGAAAGAAAACTAGATTGATAGCCTTGTGGTCTGATTCATTAAAATAATGACTATTTTCTGCCATTTGCAGCTTTTCTTGTTGGACTTCCTGTTTAAATAATTTACAGCAAGCCATTAAGAAAGTTGAAGTGATAATATAATATTACGATAACATGCCTCCAGGGTTTGCACATCAGTGTGTGTCTGTGTTTTAAAAGTGATTCACCTTCTGAACTAGTACCGTTTTTATAAAGACAGTTCTTAAAAATTTCACAAAACTGTTCCATTTTTGCAAAACATATGTGGCGTCCGTGCTAATTGTTTGAAGTGGTTGGCAAAATGAATCATTTTTAAATTTGTCCTAAAATCTACAACTCTGGTTCCGTCTCTTGACGGCAGAGGGCGCCAGAGTAGCGATTGACATGGGTGGTTCATTTTTACAAAACCAGGACAACTACAGAGCTAATAGTAGGAGCAATGGATACAAGGCAATGCTGTCGGCTTTCAGGAAATAAAGTTTGCAGAAGACTTTATTGTGCGTTGTGTTTTTTTTCTTTTTGCTAAGTTCAAAGCTTTTTTTTTTTTGTTTGTCAAGATGCTTCATTTTATAAGTTCAAATTTTCCTAAAGTTGCTGTTTTTGAAAACCTTTATGTGCAGTTTAGCGTTCCTGAATTGACAGTACTGTTTTTATGTTTTGGTGATATGTAGCCTGTCACCATTTCTTCCTCCACAAGTGTCTGCCACAACGTCCCAAAGCGGAATATTCCCAAATCTCATGCTTTCCTGCACGCAGCTGCTTTAGTTGTATCTTTTGCTGCTCTGATGACACCTGATAATCGTGGCCCGATAGTGACTGTTTGCACAGAGTGTGTTTCAGAAACCCCACTGGGTAATTTGCTCTCTTCCTTCTTTCTCTAGACTCTGGTGCAGACTGATGTGCATGCATCAGAGATGCACCACCAACTGCCGAGTGGCTTCTGAGGCCTTTTTTTTTTTTTTTTTTTGCAGAAGCTGTGCAGCCATGTGGAGCTTTTGTTTTTTTCTCTTTCTCAGAGGGACTGAAGGTCAACTCAAAGTTTCCAGTGTAGATTTTTTTCAGTTCTGGAAATCTCCCACTGGCACCTCCAGACCTGTCCTGCAGGTGGCGCCAGTCTATGAAGACAGGCAGTGTTCATGCAAGTGAAAAGGCAGGTGGATTAAAAACTAATTATATACTTTATATTTACTTGCTTTAACTTAAACCTTTGGATGCAAACGTGCATATTTAAGTTATATTGATAGAATATTAGATTTTTTTTAAAAGAAATGTGTTAAGATGATTATATTTGAACAAAACCTTGTGTATTATTTGGCACCAATAGTGTATTAAACAAGTGATAAACTGCTGTTTTGTGTAAATTATTGGTCTGAATTAAAGCACACTTTATGCATAATTTATAAAGAAAAAAAAAATCCCTTCTCTGGTGTAAGTGTCAAATCATCCAGCAGATGAGTCTAGAGAGCCAAAGGAAGAAAAAAAAAAGGCATTTAGTTGCTTATTGGTCATTTGTAAGGGATGATTGGTTCATCATTTCAGCATTTGGTAAGGCAAGTCCTTCATATCTTTGTGATAACAACGAGGTTGTCAGAGTTCAAAGTCTTTAGACGGATGATCCCAAATAAATCATTATTTAAACTGCAGTTGAATTTGCAGTCATTGTCCGCACAGACAAATAAATTATTTGACTGGTGTTTTCTCTAAAAAAGTTGTCACATAGATTACAATTATGACTTTAAATTAAACAACTAACCAAAACGATTCAGCTTAATGATGGTACTTACAAAAAAACAAACATTAAATTTTATCTGTACCATTTTCTCCCTTAGAAGTAATAGAAAAATATCACATTCTATGTTATTTTATGGAAAACTTGGACATTTTCACTGGAATGGAAACGTTCCTCAACACCTCATTATGTACTGTCAAACATTTCAGATTTTTAAGAATGGAGACCAGGATGAGTCATTAAATAAATTGCTCACTGCAAATATTAAACTGCAAACAAATTTGTTGGAGAGAAAAATCTCCATAAAATGTATAGATAATAAAAATGGAGCAAAATCTTTGATCGCAGCCTTAGACGAACACTGTTGGAACATCTTTTGATTTTCTTTCAGAATTGAGCCTTGGAGTCTTTTGGGTTTTCTCATGTTAAATAGATAATGGTTTCCTTTCTATGTGACTAAAGCAGTTCAAACTTTTTGCCACGAGGGAGAAAATTATGACGTTAAAGACACATGCAGAGCCTAAAAAATATATTTTAAAAAGTAAAAAAAAGTTAAACATATAATATGTTTGGACAAGAGACTTGACCAAAATTATTTCCTTACGTATAACAATGACTCCTCCAGGTCAGAAATTATTTCCAGGGACAGACCAGACTTTTGGTGGAGCTCCATACATTTCTTTTATAGCCATGACAACATTTCTCTTTGTAAACTTCAAAATTTTAATAAGGTAATTAAAATCAGTAAAACAATTTCCTAATTTAGCAAATACGGAAATAAATCTGACAGTGCTAGCTGAACTAAAACTGAGAAGTTTTTTTTGATTGAATTCCAGACAATCTTATATAATGTAGGTAAATATCAAGTCCCGCTTTAATAGAGCCTTCCTCTGACTGATACCTTTATACAGGTTTATTTTGATCCTTTGTGGCGATCCGTTGTGACCGTTCCACAGAAAAATTAAAATGAGCAGTCGCCCCACAGTTGACTTTTCCTCTAGGTGAATCAGATTTGTCGTAAGTGATGGTAAGTGTGAACTCAGCAAGACTGAATGCTGAAACTACATCCAAAAGTGTTTCACCAAAGTGTTAGTGTGCTCAGTTATACAACCAGGTTGTTGCAACATTGTTCACACATTTCCTCCAAACTGATTTGTTTCTGAATTGTTAACTCTGAACCGGTCTTCACCCCATGTCATCCTGACCAATGGCTTCACTATACCCTCAAAGTAAGTAGCTGATCTTCTGCAAATGTCACATGAAAGATTCAGCAAATTCGGAAATAATTCACTGTTTTCAAAAGTTCCAGTCTCAAAAGAATGAAATCTTAACAAAGGCCTTGAGAGCCTCAAGAAATAATGTTTTTGTAATTATTTTGTCTTCAGAGGAAAGATTCCTTCCATTTCGTGTGCAGTGAGCTGGAAAACCTCAAATTGCAACCGATGTTTTGCTGAAAGCTATTTAAAGCAACCATTATCTATTTAACATGAGAAAACCCAAAAGTTTTATTTATCTGTGGTTTCTTACTGAACAACATGCTCCAGTTTCATTTTGCTCTAATAGCAAAATGAAACTGAGTTTGTAACCTACACAGTCTCAAAAGAGGACATTTTTTAAAACATCTAAGCAGCAAACTTCTAGGCGGTGCATTTTTATTTCAATCTGTGTTGCTCGCATTGAAAGAAGTTTGATGTGATTTGGACCCGTCTGCATCCAGCTGATTGACGGAAAAGGATTTTGTGCACGGAAAGAGTCGCAGCTGTGATGCCGGCTCGACTCGATGTGCTTTAACCAAGATGGAGGCACATGTTTAAAGGCAGCGCTTTCACAAGCAGCATTGCGATATGAATTTAGTGAATTCTGGAAAGAGATGCAACCACACATGTGCTGATTGCAGAGTCTGGCAGCCGTCGGCCGGGCAAGATTATCTGAATTATGCTGCTGAGTAAAAACAACTTCAGATGTGTGGTTATGGAAAAAAAAAAAAAGAAGCCAACTCAAAACTTGTGTGAAACCTTCATCTTGTAGATGTTAATTTAGTGGAAGGCAGAGCGACAAATCAACCAGTTCTGATTTACAGCCACTGAAGTAAAAGCTGCTCTTAAAGCGACGGCTTTTAGAGGCCAGATTGTGGTACATGTGACTGAATCTGCAAAAATAACAAACTTTTTTCTCAAAAAACTTTGCAGGTTTTTTTTTTTTTTTGTCCACAGGTTTTGCCAGCCAGCTCTTCAGATCTCGGCTCCTGAGGCCAACTTCTAAAGAAGGCCGACCACATGGGCGACAAGAAGCACGAAACCTTTCACAAAAAATCAACCTGCATACATGCAAGACCCTCTTGATCTTCACACAGGAAGGAAGCAAGTCATCACTGCTACAGCTATAACCCATTGTTCTGTTAGCCAGGCTGCACATGTTCACACTCTGCTTACCCGACTTTGTGGTGTACTCTGCAACGAAGGGATTAAAACTGAGAAAGAAAAAAAAAATCATGCACGTTTCTCTTGCAGGTATATTAATAAGTCATTTAATTACAAAATTCACATGGATAAATGTTGGAGTTTGACATCTCTGCCTCTCTGCCTCAGTGGAACCTATGATGGTGACGCTTATAATCAGCAGAATTATGCAAAAACTTTCCAGTGGTCATAATCAAAACTAGCGTGGGTGTTCCACCCAGGCAGACTATACTCAATTAGGAAACACAGTGAGATTTCACAAAAAACATTCATCATTTTACTTTTGCTTCAACACACAGAAATCTGCTTGATACATTCATTTATTATTATTATTATTATTTTTAAAAAACAGCCATCCTATATGACAGGCATACAGAAAAAAAATAAATATTGAAAAGCGCTACAATTTCATTAGGATCTTAGTGTCAACCAACTCGACATTTTTCATGAAAGCAAAAACCTGAGGTGTAAAAATGCTGTTTATTTCTCTGTGCTGTTTTGCTTTGAGCTGCCAATGAACAAAAAAAGTGCACCATCATCTTTGGGTTTCTATATTGCAAAACAGAATATATTTAGTCCAGGTGTATCAGATAAAAAAAAAAATACAATCAAAGGATCTCTTTGTGGAAGTTATGAGTAAGCTTTCCTCCTGATTCAGAGCAAAACTACGGCACAATGAAACAAAGCTGAAGCAATCGAAACCCTTCAGATCTTGTACAGACCGAAGAAGTTGCCATTATGTGAGTGGCTGAGATAAGTCGGGTGCGACACATTCACGTAAACCCTGTCGAACTTTAACAGCTTCAGACCGCCGCCAAGGTAGTTCTCTGCAGTCCATGGGCTGGCAGATTTCTGGACGCAGAAACCCGACCTGTGGGCCTCCATCAGAGGCAGGAGTTTGGACTGTCCCGCTCGCCTCACGAACACGACGTGATCGAAATAGGAGGTGGGGTGGCAGTTCTTGAAGATCAGCTCCACTCGAGAGTAAACGTGGTAGAGGCCCGACTCGTTGACCTGCAGGGCGCCGTCTTCCATTATGTAGGCGACCGCCCCGGAGGTGAAGGCCTGGCCTGCTTTCGGTTCCCATCGCAAAGTCTTCTGGGATGATGACGGTTGATGCACAATGCGCCCTGCAAGGAGACGATTCCATTAAGCAACGTGGACTAAAGAAAATCAGCAATTCGTCCTCGGGTTAATAGGAACCTCACCAAGAACATGAGCCGCGGGTTTCTCTTCTGTTTTCTCTTCTCCGTTTGAGTCGGGGACATAGGGACCTGAAATGGCCGTCAGATTAGCCCACATCAACTGGTTTTGTTCATTTTCAACATAAAGGACAGCTACATGTGCAGAGAACACAATGTTTGCATACCAATTTGCTTCTGGGGTGCATGAAGCTCAGTCACAAGGTCATGTTCAACCTTAAGGGAAGTAAAAGAAACAGAAAGTCAATACCACATCACACACAAGAGAAGTGCATCTTAGTTTTTTTCGAAGGCTGAAAGCTCTGCTGCGGCACATGTGAGACAAAGGATATCCTGTCTAAATGGACGGGTGACCACAGTGGAACGGCAAGAGGCTCTGGCTTGCATTTGAAATGTCAGAGTTCACAAGTGAAGTTATTTTAGTTTCAAACGGTTTCAAATTAATTATTAAACTTTGCAGGTGAACCCAAACTTTCCGTCCTTGGTTCCATTCTCCCACCTGACACCTCCCTGACTCTACCTCCACATGTAAAGATACTTTCAGGTCTTGCCACTGAACAGTGCTCACAAACACAGAAGTCTTGGAAAACATATTTGTTAGTTCTCAACAAGAAGAGCTACAAGAAAATATTCTACACAAAGCAAAATCAATTTTTTTTAAAATAAAAAATTCTGTAATTTACTTGTGTGTGTGTGTGTGTCAGTCCTTACCTTCTCCATATTTTGGATTTTTTTCTGGAGTCTCAGGATCTGCCAGGCTTCAAAGCCCAGGGCGGCAAACACCAGCAGGAACAGCATCAGCAGCGTCATGGCCAGGCTGCAGCTGACCCCCATGCAGCCTCGGCTCTTGCTGCGGCTCTTCACGCTCTCTCGGGCCTGCGGGAACGACCAGCAGGGGATGAGGTTCGGCGGCGACGCCGACGGGTGCTGGCCTCCGCCCTCGTCCACCAGGAACACCTGAGGGAACGGGTACCTCTGGTCATGGCTCATGGTGCAGGACCCTACTGGGAGGACGAGTTGTCTGCGAGTCTGACTGCTCTGAAGTGAAGGAGGTGTGGACTTGTGACTGAGAAACCCTTTTCAAGTCAAACCCAAGATGCTGTCAGTGCATTCACCACCCACTGCCTCCCACGCCTCCCCTTTAGTATTCAACACTAAACTAAAGTTCCTCAACTAAAAAGCAGCCACTGATTAGTTACACAAAGTGATCTGTTTGGTTTTTCTCCTTTATCTTTCTCATCATAATCAGGTGACTTTGGTTTTATGTGCAAACCTTTCTTTATGTAGTTATGTAGGTAAGCTGCAGCTGTCTGTAAAGGAAACTTGAGGTCTAGCTGACCCACACCTCACTAACCGCGCTCCCCTCTTCTACATAAAGAGACCTTTTCGCAAATTCCACGAAAGGAAAGATTGAGCAACGTCGCTCGTCGGTAGCCGTTTTTCAGTCGAGCGCAAAAATCACTGGCCCTCTTCTCACCGAACCAGACTCCGACCCACTTAAACATTCTTTCTGATGGATGCTTTATCTGTGTCAGGGTGGATGGGTGGCCCTGCGTGTTGGTAAACAGTGATGCAGCAGTTTCAAAAGCACACCGCATGCTCTCAGTGGGAAGAAGCGGCTGCCACATGAAAAGGAACCAGCTCCATGCATTGGCTTGCGTGTTGTCTGCTTCTGATAGACTCGTAGAGGCGCTCGCTGAAACAAGTGAAGCACAACGCCGGCTCTCAGGAAGGAGCACATGAGCCAGGCTTCCTTCCACCAGGCTGCTGTGGTCTTCACACCTATTTGGGTTTGTTTCGGTGGATATTGAGCCAGTGCAATGCGACTACATTTGCAGGGGCAAATATGGTTTGGCTAAAAAAGCTCTTGATTTCAGATGAAGAAATGAGTGAGAAATTCCTGTAGCTGATATATTGTGCAGTGTCTCTGAAGCAAGTATGCAGGCGTACTGAAGCTTGACTCCACGCTGCAAATGGAGGCAAACCACAGTTCCTGTCAAGTGAAGAGAAACTATTCTCGTGTGAGGTCTCCCTGTCATCTACACACAAAAGCCTCCTAGGATTCCACAGCAAGGTGAGCGTCAGAACGGTGCTGCAAACGTTTTCTTTCGTTTCTCCAGGCCGAAGCAGCCAAAGGGAAACCCAGCTTGCAGCGTGCACACGCAGCTCCAGAGTTAAAGGGCAATTACGTCAAGCTTAACCATAAACTTCAGACTTGCCAGTAGCCTGCAAGCTGATGCGCCTGTTTCCCAGAAGCGTCATGCTGAAACAGACGCTCGCAGCAACACCAGCGGCAGCAGCACGCAGCCGTTGAAGTGGGAGTGTGAGGTTTTGGGGTCTAACCAGCAGGCTGCTGCTCCAGTTATTATGAGCAGGCGAGCGTAATAAAACGAATCTCTGAATCAGCAAAAGCACGTTTCTCAGTCATTATGTTTCCCACCGTCTTCCTCTCTTTGGTTGCAGGTAGCTGTGGTCTTGTTGACAGATGACACGAACAAATGACAATGAAGTCCGTTACCTGGAGAGAATGACAATACCCACCTTTGCTCTTTTTTTTAATTTCTTTTGAAGACGGATATCTCGTCTTTCACGGCACATTTGATGAATTATTTCACAAGAAATTCCTGGCAAACGCATTTGTGCCGCATGAAATCTTGTAATGACACAGCAAAGGACTTTAATATATTGACTTTGAATTCATGTGACAGACCAACAGGAAGCAGCACATAATTAGTGAAACAAAAGAATATATGCAAATATATTTAATAAGAACATATGCGTTCTTACAACTTTCAGCAATAAACCTGCGTTTCCCCTTCAGGTTTGTCCTGGATTGAAATTCATTGATCTTCTTATCAACTCTGGCAGCTTCCTTTTCCCTGATAGGAACAAAAACCCATATAATGATACGGCCACCACCATGCTTCACGTTAGGACACACCTGCAGTGAATGTCAATATATGCACTACATGTTAGTAGCTATTTTGTTGATATTCACAAACATGACACAAATGTAATTATTTGACACTGTTACTTTTATTCTTACGTGGAGTTCTGTTTTGAACATCAAACTTAGATAAATGCCTTTTTTTTTCTCTCTCTCATCTTGGTGCAGAGGGTGGGCATTGCAAGATGTGCAATGGTGTGCAACATGACCACAGACAGGAAGTGCTGATTGGGCAACACTGAGTGCATTTCTAAGAGGAGCACAAAACGGCCAGTTGCCCTGAATCAGTCTAAATCAATTGATGCATCGATTTTTATTGATGCATTGAATCATTGACTTGTTGTTCTGTTTGGTGTCTAACTAGATGTTTGTATTGGTTAGTTTATTTTAAGTATTTTTTGGCTATTTTGTGCCAAACTGCTCAGCTCAGCCAGTATTTTTTTTATCCATCTTGGTCTTTGGTTGGGTAGCTCAGCTTTTTTTTATAAACCATTTTACAGTTGGTGATAAACTTCCAACTTTGTTAAGTTTGTTTTACCTATTTGGTTATCAATCAATGTTTTTCTTTAGTTTTCAGGTGACTAAACTCAACTTTTTAAAAGAAAATACATCTACATCCTCATGTCTTGCATGTTCAGTCCATTATAGGTGTTTTCAGAATGACTTATGAGGTTCGTTCCTAAACACACAAACTTGTGAAGGTGAGCATTAACTTTGATTTTATTTGATATCAACATGCTTGTTTTATCTTCCAGGCAAAATGGATTTCTGACATCTTTCCTTTTTGTCACATTTCTATGCAAGTCAGATTGGTGGATTGCATGACTAATGATATTCATGAATGAAGAACAGATTTGTGCAGCTTCCCCTGAATTACCAGTCATCAGAGCCACTTCTGAATAATGTCATTGTTGCCTTTGCAGTGTAGGAGGTGGGGATGTCACGCAATGTTTGCAGTTTAACCACACTCTTTCCATTCCTGGTCGTTGGACTGAAATGTCTTGCATTTGGATTTTATTTTGGTTACAAAGGCACACCTCACTTTTATAGTTCTCTTTTGTAAAATTGTTGAAAACCATGCACCACTTCAAAGTTGTGAGACAAAAATTTCAAACCACTGCAACATTGTTTGAAGCCACAAGGCTCTTTCTGTTAGACTAATAACATATTGCGGTATTTTTACTGACTTAGGTCACAACCAAACAACAGAAGGTAATTAAGCCCCCTCTAAGAAAAAAAAAAGTTATTTGAAAGTGTCACCTAAATTACAAAATAGTACATAAGAGGAAAGCTCTCAATTGAAGTGTCATAAACCTTTGTGGAAGGATGTACCTTTGATTCTGTTTATTTATTCATTCATTTTATTTTTGTAACTTATTTCAGTGCTCTGTGTGCTTCCATTTGTCTTTAATTCTGGCATCAGAGTAATTATTTTTTAGAAAAATGATTTTTTTTTCCTTTTTTATAAAGTGCAAACAAGCACAGAATTACAATTTTATTCTAATTCTGGAGCTTTCAGATTATATTTTGGTGGACAGAACTGCAACTGTCTTTGCAGGTACAGCCAAGCAGCAAAGACAGCAGGTTCTTCATTGTTTTACCACAGTAAGGTCAACATAACAGCGTAATGTAGATATCTGTAAGAAGCTAACTTTTATTTATATTTTTGCCTATGCTATGTTTTTGTAGCAAATGTAGACTGTAATTCAAAATAAATATATTTTTAACATACATGTGCTTTAAAGAAATTTGACCATCATTACAAAATGTAATATTTTAATTGAGGTTACACACTTTTAAACAAAATAAATTTTAAAAAATCACAACGTGTTAGTTTCCTCATCAGAAGAGGAGTAACAATCAAGTCCCAGGATGTGTCCACTCTTGTCCTGTGTGAGCCCCGAGTTAGACGCCGCTGCACAGCTCGAGTTGTTTTCTTGAGCAGCGCTTTGTTCCGTTTCCACCACAGATCCACTTGTGGGCTTCTCATTTTTCTCTGTGCTCCAGTTTTCAAACTCAACCATTTGTTGTGAGTGGAACTTACTGAGGTTGGGGAGACCAGACTGCAGCATCCTGGCGAGGTTCTGTGTTTGGGAGGAACTCTGGCGCAGGGCCAGTCCTCTGAACGCAGCTGCAGCCACCGCCAACCGCGTCTGGTCGAAGGAGAGCGGCTGGTCCTGGACTGAACTGGCGTCTGAGACAGCGCTGGTTGGAACGAGGCTGTGAAGCCTACTCTCTGAAAAGCTGCCGGTCATCGCTGCTGCTAAGGGACGACAACATCCGGGAGAATCACCTCTGCTCTTCTGGCTCCCTTCAGCATGCAGCTCATAAAGTCGAGGGTTTTTACCTATGAATAAGAGACATAGAAACAGTTAATTAATCATAAGTCGTTTGGGAGATTTCTCTGCAACTCAAAACATAATATAAAAAACAACTCTACTATTTGAATAATAAGCTTTAAAAACCACTTATTAGTTTCTAAAGCTTATTTAGAAACTATTTTTTCTCAGGAGAGTGAAGCAACCAATTTAGCCATCAGACAATCTAGATACTGGCACTTTTATTTCATGTGACAACCAAACCACTGACCAGCATTTGGTGGGTCTTGAACCTCTCCTCTCCGTTTGCTGTAGGCTCTGGGAGTCCACGGTTTGTGTTTGCATGAGGGGTCTAGAGCTCGTAGCTTGCTGATGAAGCTTTTGTATTCTTTTTCCAAAGCCTCGATGTGCAGCTGGAACTCAGCTATCTTCCTCTCCGGGTAATGAGGAAGCTGGGATTGCTGAGCAGTGGACAAAAACAAAAAAAAAAACAAAACAATGTGGAGCACTGGGTTAACAAACCAGGACCTTCGCAACTTTCCAAGGAGCTCTCTCACCTGCAGGTAATACTCGATCTCACTTTGGATGCTGGGAATCCACTTTTTTACAGACGGAGCTGAATTCAGAGTAGACTGTAAAGGGACGTGATTTAAAGTTGATTCTTAGTTAACGAGTTCTGATTTAGTGGCTTGAAGAAGACATTTTACTAGATTCATTACCAGTTTGGGTCGACGCTTATTTGCATCTTTAAGCCGTCCCTCTGTAAAACAAAGGTTTCATTAGTTCACCTGCTCAGAACAAAGCAACAACAAAACCTATATCTATGGGACAAAGATTTAGAATAACAATGTATCCCTGCATTGACAGCAGCAACATAGCACGAGTGAAGCTAACAGGCGAGGCTAACAGGTGAGGCTAGCTCTTCTTATTAGAATGTGAATAAAATGGCGCCGTGTTCGATAGACGGTAACTATTTACCCTCTCTCTCTTTCTGTAGCCACAGTCTGTTCAGTCTTCCCTGTTGTTTCTCCTCGTTTCTTGCCATGGATTGAGGTTGCAGCGTTTGAGCCGCCACTCAGCCAAAACAAAGTCGCGTGACCTGGAACAAGTGTCACGTGACGCCCAAAGAACGTGGAGTCTTAAAGGGGACGTGTCTCTAAATCTGAAAGACAGAGGAGCTCATTCTGTAAGACAGGGAAGAAACGTAACAAAAGATTATTTCCATAAAACAAAAGCTGAGTGGACACATTTTGCACTCCATAAGAAAAAATGTGTACAAATACAGAACAAAACATTTTCATACTATGAAAAAATTTGACTTATTGCAGCATTTTCTTCGTTTTACTCCAGATTCCGCACAGTGTCCACAAACATTGCAACTGTCACATTAACAAATTTTGCTGGTCGATAAATTGTCCAAGAAGCGATAATATTGTTGTTTTTTGACCATTTTCGGGTAACAAAATGGCAATGACACAATAATGCAAGAACACATTCTCAAGGATTAATAAACTTAATTTTTTTTGTCAACATTTTGTAGTGGGACTGGAAGACATTTTAAATATCCAAAAAAATTATAAGTAAACAAGACAACAGAAACTACAAATAAAATAAATTATAAACTCTCTGTTTCTTTTTATTTTTTTTAAAAAAAAGGGCCAGTTGAGACCAATTCACCAGACTGAGGACATTTGTCATCCAGTTTTTGGTGGGAAGAGATAAACAACAAATTATGCAAATGCAAATTATTGAGCTCATTTTAATTTACCGTGTGATAAATTGATTTATTACTTACTGTGAGAGGCCGACTGCCACCATGGCCTTCCACGGATAAATGGCACAGAAAAAGGCATGAATTAGCCCTCATGATAGCTGCATAGTTAACTGTTACAAGGCCTACCATGTTAATTTTGTGTTAATTTTGTTTGAACATTTAATAAATATTAATTGTGCTTTAATAATAATAATAATAATGTCCCAACAAGCAACTCTGCTTGACCCCATTTTGATTTCCAACAAAGGGAAAATATGCCAGTCCACTACTGTCACCATGAGATTTCACCTCTTTCTGATTTATATCACTGAAGTTGAAAGTTGGTGTGTGTAGGGGGCTGCAGCTTGCAAGTAACTGAAAATATCTGAAATGACAGAAAACGAAGAACGAAAAAAATCCCACCCTGCACGCTTTGGCTTTGTGGTGTTAGATTTTTATCATTTAGACCTTCTATTAAGAGTCAGACAGGAAGAAACAACACGCACTGCACTGCCGATATGCGTCTTTATCATCCTGTCACAATTTGCAGCAAGCAACCACAGAAAAAACAACTCACAAGAAATTAAGGTGCAGGACCACAGGAAATATTGGATCAGAACATCATTTGTAGAATGGTACCAATGAACATTAGTGCATCTTAGTAGGATTGTCGTGAAATGTATAGTATAGTTGCGAAATAAAGCCAGAAATGAGCCAATTTCAAAAAGATCTGAAAAGTGTGGTGTGCTTTTGCATTCAGCAACCAGAGTCCATGGTGTGTTTAGGGTTATATGCAGTCTTGCAGAAAGTTTAGCTTTGGTTTTATCTGACCAGAGCGCCTTACTTCACATCTTTGCTGTGCCACTTAACTGCAACTAGGACTTACGATTTTCTTAGAACAATGACTCCATCTTCAACACTTCCTATAAGGCAAGAATTGTGGAGTGTAAAACTAATTGCATGTAAGTCAACATATACCTGAGCTGCCACTTTCTGGCTACTAGAATCCTGTACAGAAGCCACTGAAAATGAGTTTAAAACACAAGTGGACTCTGCAAGTTAAATGACTTAGTTGCAGTCCATTTTATTACGGAGCATCAGCGTGAAGGGGGTTTTCAGAGTGGGAAATTAAAAAGGTATAAAAGCCATCAATCCATCTTTCTGATGAAGAGTGCTCAACTTTGTGTTGATCTGGTAAGATGTGGCTTCAAAGTGAAAAAATGCAAAAAGGTTCAAAAGAGATGAAAGCCTTAGCAAACTACTGTGACTTTCATGACCTTAACGTTTGATTTCTTCTTCACAGGCAGATGATCTTCTGATGCTGTGTGACGCAGTGGTCTCGGATGAAGTTGTATGTTCAGCAACACCACAAGGGTTTGCAAAAATCTTCATCAGTGCATTGAAGTATTTCTCAGCCTTAGAAGCTGCTTCTTACATCTTCATTGGGGAAAATTGCAGCATTTTAAAGAGCTTTTAGGGTTGTTTCTGTCTTATTGTCATGTTGAAGCAAGCAAACCAACTGTCTTAGGATTCAGGGGCAGATCATAACAAAATAATCCTGTATTCTACATTATAAGTCTGCATGTTTAAAAGTGTGCCAAAGGCTTCATACATGGTTAAGAAGAGTCTTAAACTCAATAAAAGAATAGCACTCTCTGACATGCCAGTGCAAATTACAGAAAATGTGTACCAGCAAATGGCTTTAAGACTCAATGTTTATGTTGCAGTGACAAGAAATTACAACCAGCATTCACAGCGGTGCAGAATTTAAAAAGTAGAATGATATTTCCTTAAAGGACTGAGATTTTTCTGCAGGATTGGAGTTTCTGGACATCGCCATTATTGTACATCTTTTGCTTGAACAGTATTTCTCACTGAACACATACTGGGTTTGTCTTTTCTGTTTGTGACTTGCAGCTGCATCTTCACTTCACTTCATAATTTGTAGCTTGCAGCTTAACTTCCTATGTGCACAGTTTACCCATAGCTTATAAACCCTCACCATGTGTTCTGGTGTACCATGCATGCAGCACATTGCAAAGGAGTATCTTCATCATAGGCCTGCTCAACTGCAAAACAAAGCCCTCTTGTTGCATGACTCCAGAAAGGCGACGTTGCTATTTCTTTGATTATGTCGGTGATTGCATTTTGTTGAAGTTTCTGTTACCCCAATGACTGCTGGAAACAGCCACCAGTCTTTGCTCGAATTGCTGTTCAAACATAAACTGTTTCAGCTCTCTAACATCTCGCTTTTTCTACATTATTGAATCTTTACTTTGATTAACCTGGAAAACACAATGAATTAAACAATGAATGGTCTGTACTTGCTATTATTGCTATGCTATTACTGCTATTACTATGTTAGCACCTTATTAAGTCCAGAGGACCCCACAGCGCTTTGCACCACATTCAGTTTTTCACCTACTCAGAGTTCACCCACCTATAAGTCAGAAATCTATCTAACCCACATCTAAGCAAACTGGAGGAGAGTAATTTCCTGGATTATGATCGGAATATTTTTGATTTTGCAGAAAAGTTTTTTCCTTTGTTTTACACCTCGGACACAAATTGACCTTATTAGTTTCCGTCCCTGAACTTTGAGCTCTGTCACAATGTTGCATTTAGTCAGCCTTCCTCCAGCTTTCCGGGAGTCCGGCATGATGTCGAGCCGGTTTAAAGAAGAAAATGGAGAATTTCAGAAGACAATTTCAGAAGAATTTCAGAAGTTTATTGCTTTCTTTGTAATGACTCAGAAACCTGCCTTGAAACTTTGTGAATAATTACTCTCCAAGACGTCAATCGGTGTCAATCTGTGAAACATCAGGAGCTACATGCTCAACAAACTGTCGCAGACAATTTCAGGGGTTGAAGTCAAAATCTGCAAGCGGACCAATACAATGGTTGTGTGGAAATGTGTGAATCACTCCTACACTGTTACCAGAAAGACTCTGCTCGTGGGAAAACTCGTGGTTCAGCTGCAAGGTTATCGTTTCATCTCTCTGGACGGGTAACCCGGCAGAGCTGTCAGGTTCCGGGGGGCTTCCCTGGAACAGTCTCCACGTTCTCCTGAGCTTGTGACACCTCACACCTCTTTTTATAAGACTATTTAAAAAAATACGGTGAATGTAACCTGAATCCTATATGAGACTAAATCTGCACCCACCTGCAGTGGCGTGTGGAAAACATGCTGTTAAATATGTGAGAAGTCTACACCCAAAAATGACTAAATATTACCAAAAATGAGGTTATTAAAAGTTTAGAGTCACTAATCTTTCATCACGTACGGTCTAAGTTACTGATAGCAACAGATGACTTTCTCTTCAACTTTGCTCGTTTCAGTAACAAATAAATAATATCGGTTGACATTATTTATTTAATATTATCAGTGAGTACCTTCCTGTCAGAAAATTAAGGCAGTAAAACAGCAGACTGGCTAAAATATGTCAACTCAAAAATCTGATGAGCTTGACCACTGCTCTGTTTGCAGGAGGACCAGCATTAGTTTTCAAACAGCACCCCCTAGAGGCAAAAGATGTTCAGTTAAAGTTTTATTTTTAATGCACTCAGTACATGAGTGGGTCAAACCAGCGGGTCTTTGCCAACATGCAGTATGTCATTTTCTGCCTCTGGAGATTTGAACACAGAGGAATGAACTCTTCTTTCTCACATCAGTCAATATCTGCTGCATCGTCTCCCACTGGCCGCCACCAGTCACATTTCTGTTTAAACACTGGAGAAAACAAAATAAAATCTTATTTTTGTTGACACCTCACACAATAGCAGTCAGTAATAAGTCAGTTTTTGTTTCTCAGAGGGGATTTATTACATTTATGAGCAAAAATCCGTTGCAGTGGAGTCAAATACACTTTTCTTAATTAGTATTAGAGATTCCCCTTATTTTGTTTTTATTGCTAATTTTCAGCTGTTATGACAATGAAACTACAAGGTTTTTTTCGCTATACACTAAATATATTATTATATTAAACATATTATACACTATATTATTATTTTAACAATAATACATACATATATATATATATATATATATATATATATATATATATATATATATATATATATATATATATATATATTATATATAGAGAGAGAGAGAGAGAGAGAGAGAGAGAGAGAGAGAGAGAAAGAAAGAGAGATAGAGATAGAGAGATAGAGATAGAGAGAGATAGATAGATAGATAGATAGATAGATAGATAGATAGATAGATAGATAGATAGATAGATAGATAGATAGATAGATAGATAGATAGATAGATATCTTATATATCCACCAACTGTTGGTTTAAAGTATAAAAACAGAAACTTTCATTAGTCATTTTTA